CTGCTGATACAATCCACATCTCTTGCAAGCCTGTTGGCCAGAGCAGCAAAACTGGCTCAGTTTTGGACAAGGCTTCAGTGTTCTTTGCACATATATATTAAAAGGAAAAAAAACACCACTTAAGTCTAAAATTTGCATGGGGAAGAAGATACAGCACAATCAAACATTGTGTACAATGTTTGTACAATCAATGTGCACAATGTACATCTACATAAACTCTGAACTGAAACCTTAAACACTATCAATTTAATCACTAAATCAAGCAGAAATCCTTGTTAAGGGAGGAAAAAGTCATCTATTTTAAAGAACTTGCAAATGAAATTAGTGTTATGCTGATTCCAGAGTATGTTACGCAGCATATACAAGTTTCCATCATAAACCATCAACATTTTCAAGATGCATTTCCCTAAAGCATATTATTTTTTAAAGTTCACAGAAAAAGTAAAGCAGAGATAATAGAATGCACACAGCAGAGGATATTATCTTCTACAAGAAACACATTTGCCAGTTCTGTTTTTTAGTTTAACCTTGTCTTGCACCACTTAAAAAATGCAAAAACTATTATGCTCATTATTGTACTGAAGTGATGGTTGAGAAGACACTTTCATTATATACACCAGTATTTTCCATAGTTCATGACTTTATGGACAGATTAGTCTCGTGGGTGAAATATTTTATGCTGATCCTCAGTCCAAAGGCGAATTAGTCTGGAAGCACGATAAAATTCTATCAGGTCACACACAGCTCAGACACAGACAGAACTGGAAGATCTATACACAGGGACATCGAGTTTTCTGACACCCCATCTTTGTCCCCACATTATACCATATATAAAGGTCGTCATCTCTCCAAATGCTGCAGAGTCCATGAAATCCAGCATTCCCACTTGAATCGCCCTCGACTTCATTTATTTTTATCAAGTGCAAATCATCCTGAACTTGTGGAAGTTTCTTGGTTCACAACACAAAGGACTAGATCAAATCTTTGCCAGCAACTGGCAGCATCTCATTTCCCCATCTACATTGAAGGGGTAATTAGCTCAGTTTTTTGAAGTCTTCAGAAAAAAAACTTTTTATTTCTCTCCTCTAAGCATCCATCAGAGAAGAGAAAGAAGCAGCTCTCAAGCTTCAAAAAAAGCTTGAATGACATGCTGCTGGTGTCAGGATTGCCAGGGCCGCAGACTTCGCCTGTCTGCCTCAGTTGGACAGTTAGTACTTCAAATCTTTTACGTGTTGAGGCTCAACGAAGTACAACACATCCCTGTCCTTGTCACTTTGCAAATCCTCTCCATCCAAGAAAAATTCACAGCTGAATCTGGTCTCTGCTCCTTCATAATCCACTGATTTAGGACTATGTGCAACTCGGCCCTGTTTTAGCACGCCATGATGCCCGTCTGAAGGCACGTCAAGACTGCAAGATCCATTCACTTCCAGTACGTTTCGTGGGTGTGGTACCTGAGAATGGGAATACCTGACTGCCAAAACAAGAGATAGAAATAGACTCAATTTGCAGACACTCAGCAACAGAATTAGAACCAGATTACGTTTGCTTTTCTGTAATCAACAATGGAGACCAGTTTTTAGGGGGAAACAAACATGGGGGGGGGGGGGGGGGGATCCCACTCTTTAGAAGAGGTACGCTATCACTAATGGTATTTCTAAAGATACTTTTGAACTGTCTATGATCTTTGCCTGTGCTCAGAAAACAGCACTTCATGGTGATATTTGCATATATATAAAAAGATAAAAAGATTTAGCTGGCATAGACCAATGAAATGCTGATTGTCTCATCACTGAGACAATCTGAGGCTTTTTTCTCCACTGATTTCTGTGGGAATCTCACTTTTCAGTCTGTTAAGGAAGCATAGCTTAGAGTCATACATTTGTGTAAATGTTTGGGCATGGTCATACAAAACAGTCTTATCAAACATATACAGCATTTCATAGACAGTTCAGAAACCAAATGAAGTGCCGAGACGTGCGAGAATGTGTATGTGAGTACGACCCTGCTGTTCACTTACCGTTTCTTCAGCTCGGTATTAGTAATGCACTTCCATACGTGATGCTGAGAGAAAGCTGAAAAACTGAAACAACTTACTTATAGTTTTGTTATCCACAAATACCCTAAACAATGTCCATAAAACCCACTGCAAGACAACGCGGTTACATAGTGTAAGCGTGTGGACATGAACACACAAAACGTTGTGAGCATCAGCATGCTCAGTTCACAGAATTATCTATGTTGACTCACAAAACGCTGAAATCTAATTCTGCTCTAGAAATTTCTATGCAAAGAAACATGCCAGATGGCAGTTTCTTGATGTTTTCTGGGTTCCATTAAAAAGATCATCTGTGCCCAACGGAGGAAGCATCTATACTGCACAAGCACATTCTTTGGCCTGCAAAACGCAAAATGGTTTGTGAGAATGACCTAGCTGGTTCTCAGAGCCCAAATCCCAAACTGAGTTTGAAGGGTTCTCAGGGAAAATGAAAAGATTGCTAACTTTAAATAAATATAGAAAATACATTTGTAAACAATTCTGCGACATTTCTATACTTGCTTTCAGACTATAACTATTCAAAGAATAACAGTTATCACAGTATAGAAAATACCATCTCATAAGTGTGGCACGGGCGACTCTATCGTGACTCAGAACGATCTGTTTCAGCTCCTCACTTTGTGCATATAAAAATGTTAGAAATGCCCGAAGCACAGTTTGCTGCATTCCAGTCGAATTGTTGTTCTCACTTCAATTTAATCACCTTCACAGGCACACTTACTGAGTGCTTCTATTCATAAATTGCATTTTAATAACCCACCTAATTGCCTCCTTTTCTGCAAGCAGATAAGCTTTTAAAAAGACAGCATCTTTGGTATCTTCTGCTGCTTGCAAAATTCAGCTGAGTTGTGTAGATGTTTCCATCTATCGCTTCCTGCTAAGGTGGCTGAAAGAGCAAAAATTCAATAAGGCTTGAGGAGTCTGAGTCGGTGTAATTGCAGCTGAAGCCAGGCACAGAGCTCTATCAGCTTCACTTTAGCCACTTCTGAAAGTGTGACAAAACTTGCCTATAAAATAAATATTTGATTAAAATATTCATTACAATTGAAGAAAAGTATCAAAGGCTGGATTAAAAAAATGAAAGCTAAGCAAATCCTCTAAGAAATTCTGTAGGATTCATTTCTATACCACGCCTACATTTTTCAATAGTGTCTCTCTGCATTTCTACACTGTCCGTCTACAACAGCTCCGAGTTGACCGTTGCATTAGAAATAGCTGGGGTGGGAGGAGCTTTTCTGGTTTTAAGAAAAGTCACCATGGTATCAGATTTTGGATACGAAGTCAGTGCTGAAGGGTGCTATCCAAGAAACCAACCCCAAAGCCTAACACATTGCAAAGAGACCTGGAGATCCAGCCCTAGGAGTGCTGCTCCGACCCGTCCAAGTCCTCCCTCTCTGAGGGAGGTACTTTATGCAACCAGAGCTTTCATCATTCACAGTAAATTGCATTGTTGTTGGCATAGGATACCTGTGCATCAGTTACACAAAAACTTCTAATCAGCAAACTGGGAAGAAATCTCTAGTGATATTTTAGTATTACTTTACAGAACTATAAGGACAGTGGTGTAGGAACACTTTTGTTTTAAATACAGATTAATTCCTATTCCTGGTGCTTAGCACATGCTACTGAAGATTTTTTTCCTGCTGTTCACCAAAAAGCACAACAAAAGTTCTCAGTAGCATAACTTAATAGTGAGGTAGAGGTGCAGCAGGCAAGTGTTTACCTCCTGATAATGGATCATTCCACACCTTTATCCTCTCCAAGCCTACAAGATGCATAGAGGAAAAGAAAAAAGGTTTTAATACTGAAGAGATGTACTACACTGCTGGCTTTATTGTCCTCTGGCATCAGCCCTTCGAAACAGCTGGAAGCCTCAACAGGCTCTGCAGCTCTCCCGCTCTCCCAGTCCATGTGTACACACAGCTCTAACAAGCTCCCTACCCCTAACCTGAGGCTACGATGCCACAATCCATCTGGAAGAGAAGAAAAAAGGACAATTCAAGTGCTGAGATTTGTATGCTCTGTGCAATATGAAAATGCTCAATACCATATTCTAAGAAAACTATACTGGCTCTGGTATTATGTGTGATTAGAAATGATTCCCAGTAACTTTTAGAGATACGTATCTAGCATGCACACCATGTATGCATCGTGTGAGCTTTATTACAATTAAGCTAGAGAACAGGTTCCAAAAGCATACTGCAAAAGCTTCTCCTTGCTGACGGTCTTGTTTCTACACATGCACAAATTTGCCCTTCTCTTCACTACTATCAGTGTATTATACAGACAAAGCCCTCTTGGCGTACATTCATCAGTAAATGTCCCAGAAGAACAAATCAGCATGCCAAAACAGAATTTACAAAGCCTAGGTGACAAAGCTTATTTTCCAAGGGCTCAGAAACTGCAGAATACAATAGTACAATTTATAACATTTTTCATCCTGATGCCAGAGTCAATTTTATTCTGTGCAAAAATTCAGTGCACTGAAAATCCTGAAAACATCCGACTCCATATTATATGGAGTGAAAATACAACACCTATTAAGGGTTCCTAATGGAGAAGTCACAGTTTCACTTTTTTTGGCATTTTTTGAAGCAGTTTCAGTGAGGTCATCACATATTTTTGTTTCACTTTCACCAACTCAGAAAATCCTAGTTGTAAAACTAGCTAAGGTGAAAGGACTGATCTAAGGGTTGTATTTAACAGAAAAGAAAAAATAATAAGAAAAAAAAAATCAATATATTCTAGAGTATTTTTATTTTTGTGAAGAAAGCTTTCAATACGTCATGCCAAAGTCTGCAAAGTGGCTTAAGTTTTCATTGATGAAGTGACATCTTAAATAACGTTCTGCACAATGTCTAGTTTTTGAGTGAGAGGTTGACTACTTCTAAGATTTGCTTTGAAGTACGGGGAAAACTTGCCCATTTACAATTCACAATCAACCTCAGAAATGTTGTTACTGTGTTTAGGTCCCTCCTTTTTTTCCACATTTAACCAGAAAGAAAAAATTGCTCAGAAAAGCATTAAAAGTTTTAAACAAAAACAAGAAAAGTAACAAAAAGTCTAACATTAAAACCAAGTTAGACTCTTTTCAGAAAAAGGGGCAGAAGAGAGGACTTCAAAAGAACCTTTAGAAGCGAGATCTCAACACTGTTTTTCACTACAACCACAATAACACATACGGAGCACTCAATGACACCAATGAATCCAAAGTAGCAGTCAACGCAATCATCTTGCTTGAATTCAGAAGACGTGTTTCATGTGCTTGATTCCATATGTTTTGAAGAAAACCATGATGATCAATGCCCAGAGTCCTAAAATAAATCCTCCAGGAGGATGCCATTCCTTTTGTTTTGGTTTCTGAAAAAAAAAAACAAACAAAAAAACAAAAAACAAACATAAAGAGAAAAACAAAGAATTTGTACTTAGTTTTCATATTAAACAGGCAATGTGTTTATCAAGTGCAAAAAAAAGTGTCCTTGCAGTAGAGAAAAATTCTATTTCTTAAGAAAGTAGAAGCATCTTTCTTCTTGATGTGGGGGAAAGGCTGACGGGAGGTGAGCTCCCACTCAAGCAGGGAGGTTAAGTACCACAAAAGGGCCACTAGAACTGTCCCTGAGACACCACTTTGACAGTGCATAGAAGCGCTGTGGGACATGTTCAAACTCATTTGTTTGGACAGAAACTTCTCATATCTGGTCTCATGTTAATACCAGAGAAAAATGCTGTGAGCATGAAAAACACTTCCTACAGGTGAAAATGTGAAAGAAAAAAGACAGTGTTGTTTTTCCACTACCTAGAATGTTTTCTACAGCTCCTTTTGTACTCAGAATTATGTGAATAAACAGATATCTACCCACATAAAAAGCTAAGATTCATTATTACAGGAATATCATAAACCAGAATAGGATTGTTTTTAATGTCAATCACATTTCCCAGAGGCCTCATTGAGTCTAACTGCCTTTTCTTAATGTAGAAATATCTTCTGCAATTCAAATACCTGTCCCTTCCACAATTTTTTCATCTTAAGTAAAAAGCAATACACTGCAATTTGTTAAGGCTTTTTCTATCTCACATTTAGCAGTAAGACAAGATAAAACTTGTCTGCCCTCTTCCTCCTCTTATTTAAAAAAAAAAAAAAACATTCAGATACTCCATATTCAGTGAGAAATGGATTGTAGAAGATAAGAGCTGCTGTGTGCCCCAAGATCTGTCTCTGGGGCTACGAGTAAGGTGAAGGTATACGAATGCAAAGTTTTAGTTAAGAATATCATGACAAAAATATCAGAGTGACAATATTTAGAAGTGTAACTCAGTCCCCCATGCGTGTGCCTACTCTTGCCCTCAGCAGGTATGTTTTACAGGCCTTTAGGCAGACAGAGATGATTTGCTGTTACAATAGTAAATAGCGAAGTGCTTGCTGCGCTTTCTATTCCTCCTTGCTGAAAGATTTGCACTATTTTGTCCTTGTACAGAATGACGCACAAGGGGCACAAAGAGTATGTTGGTTTTGTTGCATTTAAGTCAAAGTTCTCTTTCTGCCATGTGAATAACTACTACAAAAGATGGCACTGTTTCAATTTCTGCATGGATCTGCGTACAGAAGCTTGTCATTCCCCACTAAATGTACCAGGCGGCTGGTGAACTTTAATGCAATAAGGAACGGTTTGCAGCGTCTGTTCTCTCAAAACAGCTTTCCTATCAACAAGAAAACAATGTTTGTTGATTGCTCAGCTCCCATTTTCTAAGCTACATAGTTTTAGCTTTAGGATTTTTCTTGAAGTACCACACTTAAAAAGTATAACAAATAGCCGTCACCTGACATACCCGAAGAACTCAGCACTTTGAAATATTAATGATTTTACTCTGATACAGGAATCATGGAGCCAGCATTGTAATTGACATCAACAACAAAACCAAAGATGCGAGCAGAGATGGTGTCTGTCTGCGTATGCGAATCACTCCATTTCCGAAGCAGCACTCATCAGCTGCAGTGTACGTGCTGTTGGTAATCCGCCACCTCGCTGACGTTCACAGCCGCACATCCCACATCAACATCGCAGAAAATCAACCCTGCGCGTTCAAAAGCGGCTGCCAGCACACCTCGCTTCTGAACGAAACGGCACGCGGCACTTCTCCACACAAAGGAACTTTCTTGTTTAAATCCCCCTAATTAACCCGTAACTTGGTATGCATATTGCAGTGCCTGTTTCATCAATCTCTTTGTACTATCAATCTTTCCTTTCTTGGATCTCAGACAAATTCCTTACCACAAAGTGGCACCTGACCCTTCTAGACAAATGACTTCAATTTGCAGTCAGTGACACTGAAAGCCTCTCTCTCCTATTTTGTATAGCACGCGTAATTTAATTTCTTTAAAGAATTTATATGAATAAATATTTATAAGGTGATCTATGAGTATGGTTTTACATTTTGTCATGCCATGTACTGAAGCCTCCATGGAATTCCACAAGCAAATGGACACCACTGCAGCAGTGGCTCTGTGCTGGCAAATCAAGGACATAAGTCAGTTTAAAGCCATGGAATGCAATGTTTAAAACGTGAAGGATTAAAAATATGAAGGCGAGACAAAAAATACATAGGAGACTCTACTAGAGCTAAGTACTTGGTCATCTTGAAAATAAACTATCTTAATGAGAAAGGTTTACAGACCCAGAAACTGAAATCTACACATAAATATTAAACCACAGTAAAAGGGCAAAGAGATGCAACTCCATTGTACATCTGTAAGTCAATAGTGAGGTTAATTGAGCACAAAATTATATTGAAATATGCCAGTATTTTCCACAAGGGGCATACAGACATCAAAACCTTATGAATACCTAAAATGGGATTACACAGATTCACGTTTAAATGTACAGCATATACCTGTAAGAGCTAAAATACGTAATTTTCTTCAAATTAACTTGATCCTAGATTCCCAAGAAAGTTCCTCATTGAATTAAAAATGTCATTAGCTTTTGAATTGACAAGTTCATCCTTCTAAAATCATAACAAACATAACACAGAAAATTTCAACAACAAATCTTTGACCAGCTGGTCGTCTACGCAGCAAACAGCACTGAAGTTCCTTTACAAAATGCTGCGCTTTGCACCCGTGAATCACACCCGTCTACACATGAGATGGAGTCGCTGCTTCCATAAATGTGTCAGCGAACTGTACCTGTAACATCGGCTGTAACACCGCTGTAACAGCGGACCCAACAGTTCTTTCCCCTCGGCACAGCCGTGTCACTGCCGAAAGCACGGCGGTGCGCCTATGGCAGCGAGGAAGCGCGGCACCACTCCACGCTGTCACAGCTATGCCAGCAGTGCCACATAATGAAGTCAGAGGCCAAGGTGGGATGTCCTTCATACGTGGATCCTCAACCATATTGCTGCAGAAGCTGCTTTGACTGTTTTATGCAGGCAAGTGAGGAAGAGTCATCGAGATCTCTTCTAATGGGAAAAACTACTGAAGTACAAAAAAATCACTTTAATAGCAAATGAAAAAGTTTCCTTTTTAGGTCTGTATACTGCAAGAAGGTTTAGAAAAGACAGAATTTCTTTCTATGCTTATACCGGTTCTGTGGCCATAAGCAATTCCTGGATAAACAATCCCTTCATATCAATTTGTGGACTGATCAAAAAGCATTAGCGAATGTAAAGTTTTTCCCAAATTGCTAAAGAAAATTCAGTATTTATCCTATGAACATTGCCTAGTTCAGGGTCTTATTCCAGCAAACTTCTTTGAAAGTCAGGCATTTTCCCACTTGTGAGAAAATGCTAAATGGACAAAAAAAAGTTGTTACATGTTGCAGTATTTTAATTTTCCATTAATTATGTACCTTTATTATGCCTAAATTGATGTGAGAATGCGTACTACTAAAAGACTACGATTTGTTGCAGTACTTACAAATCATGCATAACCTTCTCATATTTGGGACGGATCTGAAGGAGCAGAGGCAGCAGCTCTCTTGGCTCGAGTTGCGCATGCCGTGGCCATAGTACCTACACCAGCACGCAGCACACCAAGTGCTGCTCACTGACTGATGTGTTTAGGTTGCCATCTGTGCCACGACACAACCCCATTATCAACACCCTCTTTATCCTTACAATAACAACAGTAACACACAGGTGAAATACACATGTAAATCAGTACGATGCGTCATGAGTAAGTACATTTAGCAGCTTAAGGGCTAGTCATTATTGAATTGCTGGAGATTCCAAATTAAAAAGATAGGTAGCCAAGCAACAGTAAGCTTCCTCCTGTGAACAGTTTTCTGTTGTACGCTCCCTACTTCTGGTAGACTCATTATCCTGTGGAACTGAAAAAACAGTTAACAGAGAGTTGCTCCAAGTGCTGTAATTAAGGAGAGGATAAAACAGTGTATTTTCAAACTGGATGGGTCTGTAGGGACCCGAATGGAAGGTATCCAAGATTTTCAATGAAGGTGTTTCATAAAACATGCAGTACTTGCTACTCCAATTAAAATGAGTTTTATGAAAAAAATAATAAAAAAGTATTAAAGTTGAAGTGGTAATTTGATTAAGAATGGTTTAATTTTAAAATGTTACATCAGAACAGAAATAAGATTTAAAACATCATGTATTAACATGTCACATGGAAAACACTGTGCTATATAATCCAACCCTACAGTCCTGTTCCAACTCCCTTTGCCTTAGTGTCCTCGATAAGGACAAAAGCACTGGTACAGGAAGCTTTGGGTTAAACTCAGAATCCACGTCGGGATGGTGGCAGCAGATAAAGCAATGCACACAGTGTTGTAGTCAGCAACGTAGTAATTCCCAAATGGAAAAGCAATTTCTTCAGTCTCCACTAGCATCTTATTCCAGACAAAGCTTTAAGACAGGGGGCGAAACCTTAAAAATTAACGTGCACATCACCCTTGCTATGGGGGATGTTTTCCCCAGCCTGAGGCAGATGGTGTATGTCCGTACTACGAGTGCAAAGTATCTATATGTAACTGCACAAAAAAAGCCCAAATGTTAGAAGTGCTGTGTTCCAATGAGTCCATTAAAGTGGCAGCTATCGTATTTCAAATTAATCCCTGCTTAATTGTCTCTGGAGTTTTAGTGCACAGTACCCTAGACCCAGTTTTGGCCTATTTATTGCAGCACACGTGGCATAAAATATCACCCAGGGTTCTGGGGCTGCCTGGAGACAACAGCAGCTACAGCACTGGGGGGGAAATCCTACACACACCCCTCTGTGCAGTTCTCCACCTCCAGTAGTCCTAGGGGTCAGCAAGCACCGGCAGGGAAATGAAGCACATTTGCGGCTTGTCTGTGCAGTGCTCTCCATCATTATTAAATAATTGGGGTGATTTTTACATGTT